CTGTTCTGCCATAGTCTGTTAAGTGCACACATTGCTTAAGTGTGTGTGTGTGTAAATTTGACATTGTTCAATGGAGGCATGGAGAGCTGCACTGTGACCTATTTAGTTAACAGTTGTTAAATGCTGCATTATGCAGGGCAAAGCTGTTTCTAATTACACAAGTACAAAGTGCCCTTTGAACAGAGGGGTGTTCCATGAATATCATAAAGCTCTCAAAGCCAATCGCGTTGCAACCTTGTTTCAATTTCTTGTCGTCCTTCCTGTTTTTGTTTGCTGCCGTCCAAGGTGGGCGTGTGAAACGAAATGGACAAAAATCGCCTCGATAGCCTTGGTGCGATACGCCCGCTTGGTGCAGTTTCTATTTAGGGTGTCGACAGACATGTTTCCAAAAGATTCCCTCGCCTGCTTTCCAGGGAGGTCTCATCAGTTCGGCTCTTCCTCATGTGAAAGGAATGCGCTGCAGCGCGGAGCAGTCGACGGGCCGCCGTGGCTGCGGCCGTCTCCTCGCTCGTGCACAGTGGCGGCTTTGTGTTTGGGCTCCAGAGGGGTCGGGTCCCTGAGCGCTCGGGAAGTATACAAACATGTTGGCTGTTGTTTTCCGCGGTTGGTACGATGAGAGCTCTGTCAAGGGCGTATGTCTGTTGTTGTTGTTGTTGTTTTTTTAAGTCTTTCAGGGTGATTTACAGTATATACATGTGATTGCTGTGCCAAACCCACCCTGCATGGAAACTCCAGTTTTAACTTTAGCGTTTACATTTGTTGTGGGAGAACAATGGTATGAATATGGGAATCCTTTTGGATAACTTTATTCTGTTGGGACACCAACATTGATAAAAAAAACCATTATCCGTTCTCTTACCTGTAAAAAAATATCATTTTTTCTTACTATTTAAAAGATAAAAAACACAAATTAGTCAACTGTTAATACAGTACTTAAGGCCTGAATTATCTGAGTATAATTCTCTACATCCTTTACTTCCGTTATAACAATTTAAATTATGTAAAAGCTATCTTAATTTTAATAGTTGGAGCAGTAGTAATGCATAAGTTTGTGTAAATTGCAGAAGCAATTATTTTGTGGAGTGCTTTAGCCCTAACTACCATTTAGTGTAATTGAGGGGAGGTTTGAAAACAAAGCTTCTTGTTACAGATGGAACTGTATGGTACTGTATAGCATTAGTTGCAGGGAGACCCAAGTATTAAGCCTGGTAAACAGATATTAATAATCTCGGGGTAGACCACATAACAGTCTGTATTAATATCCCTTAGAAAAGCAGCATTTTCTCTTGTCACTCCACTAATGAACTCATCTATTGTATGCTTATATAATAAAGAATGCATTAGGCTGTGTGGATGTGTGTGTGTGTGAGTAACCAGAGCTGTATTCCACCGTGACCTTCATCAGATAGCAGCCTACCATTTCCCCTTAGGCTGTTGAAACATTTCAGAGAATGACAGAGCCGTTCAGGCCTCCAGATTACTTAGCTATGCATGAGTTCCATTGGCGTTTCTTTACATTCCAGTGCACTCAGCCTTATAAAATATTTACTGCTGAATTATGGCTAAGCCCTGCAATACAAGGCAAGGACAGTATTTTTAAGATCCTTTGTCTACAACAGCTGCATTCGGGCTTTCAGAAACCATTTGCAGATGCAGGCAAATTAAAAGAGGTGGTTGGCCTGCTCTTAGTGATGACTTGTGTATTCTGTAGGTGTACAGCAGTGATTGCATTGTCTGAGCACCAGGTCTTTGTGCCGGCTTGAGTTTTCATCTGGAGAGTGGCAGATGCGACCTAGTTGTAGTGTTGCAGTAAGGTGTAATGCGAATTGGTAAATATTTGATCTACATTTTTTGGTAATGAAGTGTTTTCTGTTTTAACACATTGTAATGAATATTGCTGTGAAGAATAGTACGCTTATCAAGAAAAATGCAGATTTTGGGGATCTGAAGTTAGGCGTGTTTTTTGCGTGGGTTTTAGAGCTTTCCACAATTATTTGAATAGCCTTTTCTTAAACATATATTTAGTAGTTTGGTTAAAATGTTTTTATGACTATAGGGAAACACCTGTTTTCAAGAGCATCAGATCTGATCTCTTGTTGCTATATTTATCTGTCCTAGAAAAGTGCAATTCTACTGTAGCATTTCAGACCAGCTGTAGCCTTGTTTTCTACTAAGTTCAGCGTGTTAGTGAGAGTAATACTGTAGCTGAAGATAAAAGTTGTTTAAGACTCGAAAAAAAAGTTGTTGTTCTTACCAAAAAATATTTCCATCTGGTTATAGTCTATATAAGTGTTTGTTTTTAATAAAAGATCCTCCTCAGAGATCAGATATTTTAAGAACAAAAACCTTTTGCCAGTAGTTATTTCAAGTGTCTCCACATTTGGAGTAACCAGATATGTTCTGGGGCTTAAGGGAATATGCCAAACTGACACTGAAGGAACTGAACCCTTTTAGTCTTGAACAGAGAAGACTAGAAGGGGACCTGACACAAGCTTTTAAAGTCCTCAAAGGCATCGACAAAGTCAATCCTGCAGGATTCTTCAGAACTGACATTGAAACACGCACCAGAGGACACAGGTGGAAACTGCATGGAAGGGCGTGTAAAACAGAGACAGAAGACACTTCTTTACCCAAAGGGTTGTGGGAGGATGGAACAAGCTACCCAGCCTTGTTGTTGGAGCTTCTTTCAGGACGTGGCTGGATGAGATCCCTGGATCAGTTCACTACTAACAGATGGACTCGACGGGCCAAATGGCCTCCTCGAGTTTGTAACCTTCCCACAGTACACACACCAGCTCTGCTGCACAATTTTGTCTTTTGTTTTATAAAATAGAAAAAAAAGTCATATCTGTTGTTATAAATGGCATCTTGTCATATGCATTTTGTAAATAGTCTTTTATATTTGTTGTGGTTTGTGTTGAGAAACAGATTAGTAGGTAAGCCACAGCACAACCCTTGCCTCCTCTCTGCATCGCATCATCATATGGAATGATAACTCTTGTCTTGTTTGTCTGCAGAAATATATTTGTAGACAAATATTTTCTGGAAGATTAGTTGAAAAATAAAAAATGAAATGGGTGGGGCCTGTTTTCAGCAATATCTTTTACTTTATTAACGTTTTTAAGTTGTGTTCATTGACTGCAGTGGGAAATTCAGAAGTGTAACTGTACGTTGGCTATTTTCACATGACATTTGCATAGTGGACTTTCAGTTCCTGTCTTGGGTTATAAAACCCCTGATTTTTTTTTTTTCCATGGCTGAGGTTTGGTGACATTTTTCAGTTTGGTGGTTTGAATGCAGGCTATAAATTGGGACTGCGTATTGATTTGCTTTATCAATATAAACCGTATAAACCGTTTTCCCAGTTAACCTTTGGAGACAAAGGACAGATAACTTGTTAAAATAATGAAGCACACAAAATCGACAAAGGTACCTTTCTTTGTTTTTGTTGCGGTTATGAGACCTATGGAAATGCAGCTGGTGACTCTGCTTTCTTCAGTGCTTTGATTTATCTTTTCTTTCCACTCTGTTGGAAAGGGTCACACCCACTGCACCAGTGTACACGGAGTGTGAAGCCTGTCCTATCTCAAGTGGCTTTGAAATCTGGCCTAGGTAACTTGAGGACATATCGGACTTTGTTTTTACTGCTTTTCTGTACTAAACAAAGAAGCCGTTTTGAGCTGTACATTACTTTCATTACTGTAACAGAACTGAAAGCATGTGCAACCCAGCATTATTTAGAGACCCCTTTCACTTTGAGTAAAGTCTGTAATATGTTACAAATTGCACGTAAGGAACAGACAACGGTAGAATTAAACCTAAGTATCGCTGTCATCAAATGCCCTGTATTATGAGCTCATTAGGTAAATGCATATTTTGGCAGTTTTAGGTTACTGTCTATTTTCTGTTCAGAATTTAGTCTACAGTATCAGGTTGTAAATAGGACTGTGGCAACTGTTACAGTCTGTGTATACTGCCAGGCTAATAATAATTAATATTCCCATGTGTCAGTTTTACTTTTAGACCATGGTCCGTACATATATGGAGAGTGTTTTGACTTGCTGAAACTTGCTTTCAGGAGTGTCGTTACAGTTAACGATTTCACACTTATTATTTTTAATTGCAATTGGTTTTATGTAACTTCCCATGATCTAGCCAGATGCAAGAAATTGCCCCGGTACTTACATAAATAGTAATCGTGCTGATTAATACTTTTGCATCCTTTCGGCAGCACTCCACGCTTGCCTGTGAAACATTGAAACAATTATTTTTTTCCTGTGGCAATGATGACAATGAAGCTGTGCACATTTGGTGAATGACATTCTCTCATATTAATTTGTCACTTTGCAATGAATCTACATTTGAAATCTAACACGCATCTTGTTGAATGTACCATGAGACAAGTTCATTATAGTGGGCAAAAGCACTATATATTACATAGTTATATTAACACGAGTATTGCCACCCTTCTTACTGAATGTTGTTGTCTCCATATGTCTTTAGAATGGTTTCTTCATGTTTCAGTGCTTTTGATGCAAGAACCTAGAATACATGCTTACGTTATCTGGGAATCTGTCTTTAACTTATTGTGAGTTGCAATTCTATAGTATAATTAACCATCATGCATTAAATTCACACTCTGTTTCTTTCTAAAGCTGTGATTACATTATTATTCTAGGAGAGTACTTAGTGCAACACAGTTCAAAGGATGTCAATGTACATGGGAAAAGAAAAACAAAACAAGATAATCCTCCAATGTGCACTTCTCCCAGCCCACGTGATTGTGTGTTCTCATGCCAAGATGCCCTCTTTGGTTTTATTTTTTCATGGTAACAGAAAGTTCACTACAGCAAGGCTAGCTGATACATGGTGACATCAGAGATCTGCAGGGAAAAAAGAAGAAAGACACATCAAAGCTAAACTGGCAAGCTTTGAACTGTCAGGCCTGTTCTTTAATGATTTCCTTATTATTCCTAACGTTAACTGTTTTAATTTTGCAGACATTCAAGCCTCTGGTGGGAAAGGCTGTTCTGGGCTCCATCACTGCAGTGGAGTTCTTCGCAGACAGGCAGTTGGACTTCTTGACCGAAGATGGCACGTATCAGCCCTATCAGGTTTGTAGTATTGGACAGTACCCAGTTCCTCTGGGTCCTTAATGCCTTGTTTGAGAAAATGACAGTTGGGTATATGGAAATAAACAGTGCTTGTGCTGGAATAAAGATGAGTGAAATAGCTCTGAATTAGCCACTGCTTCTTCAACGATGCTTCGTGATCTTGACTGCTCATCTTGGATTGAGGATTTGGGCAAACACCCTGTTCTGCTTGAAGGTGTCACTTAATGTTTTAAGGAGTTAATTGAGATGTTGAAGAAAAACAGTACTTCATGAGATTTTACCATGCCTAGAGGTGCTAATGAGTAAATGCCAGTGAATTCTTAGTGTACGTCATCAGAATAAATGTATTCCTTCATGAGGCCTTTGCTACCAGAACATGATGGATTCTGTGAAACATGACACTGGACATGAAAGTGGAAAGGAAAGTGAATATGAAAATATTAATTTTTAATATTGCATAATTTTAGTATATGGTACCATGCATACAACTATTTGGGCCATGTTCCAATAAGAAAAAGAAAGTTATTTGAGAAGATTCAGGAATATGGTTGTATGCAAGGCTTTGGGAAAGGCTTCTGACATGCTGATGTCTGTATGGGTTTGGTTTACTCACAGTACATATATATTCATTAAGCTTATGATCTGAGTGTCTTGTGCCCCCCCCCTTTGGTAAACACATTGTGCATTGCCATCTGCTGTACAAATTCAAGTGTTTTACTTTGTAATTGTGTACCATATATAATGCCCTGCTGTCCATTAGATTAAGCCTCTGTGTTATGCTGTGTTTTTCATGTGCAGTGTATTACAAATTAAAAAGACAATGTTGTGTGTGCCTTTATTATTACAGCAATATTTCAAATACCAGTTTTTGAAAAGCTGATATGTAAGTACTGTTTCACTGTTACGTTTAATTCTGATATATTTGTTTAAATAGGTCTGGAGTTTTTCTTTTGCTGAATTGTTGTAATTTTTTTAGACCTTAGGTGTATAGTGGCATAAGAATATAATGTACATTTTAAAGTACTTTATCGAAATAGAGGTTTATTGTATCTTTAGTTCTCTATCCTATAGAGTAAGGATCATGCTAGTGTACATTAAGTAAGATTACTGTGTAGGTAAATGTAGAAATGGTTTAGCACAACAAGTTTAAAATAAGTCCCTGTGTTGTTTAATTGTGCCAGTGAATTGTATATGGTACATTGTCACATTAAACCGAGGTCCTGACTCCCGGTGGTCATTAAAGTTCCCCAGGTGTTTCTAGATAAGAGTAGGGAGTTATCCCGGTCTCCAGGCAAAATTCCCCCCCTCAGCCTTTACCGTGGCCTCCAGATTGTCCCCATGTGTGATTGGCTTGCACTTGCCCTGCAATGTCTGGCGCCCTGTCCAGCGTGTACCCTGTCTTGCGCTCGTTGCTTGCTGGGTAGGCTCCTGCTTCCCATGACACCGTATGGTAGAAAGCGGTTTGGCAAATGACATGGCATTATTACAGTGATTCAAAGGTGTTTGCCCTGTAACAGAAACTCCTTGATTTGATTTTTTGTGTGCTAGAAACCAAAAAGAGGCATATCTTAAAATGTTCTCCTTTATTTCTGTGAAGGAACACGGATTTCTTACCTATCTTTAACTGAATTGGTTTTGGCTGTAGACTCCTTTACTTGCTCAGCTAATTCACTGTGTGACCTGTAAAGGCATTCCAGACATTGCGCTCAAGCACTGTTTGTTGTTTAGGTAGCATGAGTGCAGGAAGTAAAGTTAGCAGAATGTGGTTTGAAGGAAATCTAAATCGGTTGCTTTGGAGGATATGCTGCGTTCTTGAGCGCCTTAGACTTGCACCTGTAGAACAGTCATTGAAAGGGAAAGTGACAGTCTTCAGAATGGAGATGAAGGTGAACCACATCTGAGCTCAAGCACTTGATTGGTGTTGTTGCAAATGCGTGTATAAAAAAAGTGAATGAAGTGTGCATTTTTTTTTATTTTCCTCATTAACATCCTGCTGTTTTTTTCGTGCCGGTGAATTTTGCTTTAGGTTTTGAACAGTAGTCTGACACCATCCCACATGCACTGATGACTACGATGCATGTAGGATGGTGTCACTACAGAAGCTGCTGTGCTTTGCACTCTTTGTTACAGCAAGGATTTTTATTTCAGTATTTTCATGTTCCTCTTCACTAATCCATTTGTGATTACAGATCATTTTTCCTTCCAGTTTAATGTAATGGCTATGATTGGGCTACAGCCATCAGATAGAGGGGTATCCTCACAGCTCCAGACCAGTTTTCAAAGTCTATGCTGTGAAGCCTTACTGTAAACGATACTCTTTGAATGTGACTAATTTGCAATAAAAATGCTGTCTATTATATGCAATACTGTACAAAATGCCCCCTTCACAAGAAATGCTGCAATATAGGAGGCAGTATTTCAATTTGACATGTTTTTGCTGAGTACTTGGAATGTCTAAATGGGGAAATGTGTTTTTTTTCTGTCTTCCCAATTTGCAGCAGATGATCTTCATTTAGCTTGAGAATGACCCAAGTGAGATGGGGGTGGTCTTGGTGGGCAGAGTAGTTGCAGCTGCTGGATGTGGGCTGTGCCTGTACAAACCCCTCTCTGAGCTGCTAGGACCAGTCACTGAATGACGATTGCCTTGCCCCTCATCACAGGCAGTACAAATGCAGCATTTGTTCTTCAGTCCTAGACCCTGAGCAGAGCAGGCATGTGAACTAGCCGGACAACTGTAGCACAGCACACGGCACTGGCTCTCATATTCAGCTTCCTTTCTGATCCAAGCTGTACTTTCTAAGCTTTGGTGAACAAGAGGTTACAAACGAGAGGAGGAGGCCATTCAGCCCATCTAGCCCGTGCAGTAGTTAGTAATTAATTGATCCCAGGATCTCATCCAGCTGTTTCTTGAAGGAAGCCAGGATATCGGCTCAACCACATGACAGGGTAGTTTGTTACATAGTCCCACAAGCCTTTGATGCATCTCCTGTTCGTGGTTTAAAATGCACTTCCACTTGTGTCCCCTGATGAGTGTTTCACTGTTCAATCTGAAGACGTCTGCTGGATTAACTTTGTTAGTGCCATTTTGAGAATTGTGAAGACTTGTATCGGGTATTCTTCTCTGTTCAAGACAAATATCTTTTCTTTAACATGGTGACCAAAACTGTACGTACTTTTCTATATGAAGCCTTTATAGTGTGTTATACAATTTTAACATCTCACCCCTTCCTATAAATTCTGTGCTTTTATCTGTATTTCCTAACATTTTGCATACATGAAAGAGTTTTGGTAGGTTTCCAATTTAACAAGTAAAATGGTCCTTTAAGTGGGGAGTAGTCAGTGTGGACGCTGCAAAAGAACAAGTGGAGATTCAATTCCACATTAAAAATCAGAAAGAACATACATTTCAGCTGCAGAGCCTTCTTCAGATGAAGATCAATTGTCATTTCTAAGCCTCTGCTGTAAATTATTTTATTTAATACATTTTGTGTTATGCATTATCTCCCTGAGTGCGTGTCTAGGTAATGTAGAATAATAAACTACATAACCAGGTTTTTCCCAACATTAAACTGTGTTCTATTATGCACTGTTCAAAACGAAAATAAAAAGATTTTGTAATCAAATTATAGGAATGCCCTGGTTCTACTTCCATCTGGTATTTACTGATGCAAGAGTTGAAACGGCTCTCTCCAGTTACCTAAATAATAACACACTGTGATATAGTTTTTTAGCTGAAATTTAGTCTTAATTATGGATGCAAACACACTTTGTTTTTGCCAGCTTTTAATGCATTTTGTTAATTTGTCAGCAGGGTCTTTCGCAACAAGTCTATTTTAAGATAAATGAGTTGCTTAATTTAATAATTAATCAATACAGCACATTATTGAATAATAATGTGGAATGTGTTATTCTCTCTGCAGAGTTTTGCATTGTTTCCTTTGCTTATTTACTTTTACTATATTGCAACAACTTGGTGTATAGCATCAAAACAACAGCATTATTTTAAAAAGTAAGTTAACATTTGATTTTTTACCATCAGTTAAATTGTGTGGTTTTTGGTTTCCTCAGGCAGATACTAAATTTAACATTCACCACGGAAAAGAGAACCGAGAACTGAAATTACCGCAGGAGCAAGAAAACTAGGTTTCAGGAGACGAGATCGGTTTAAAAAATAAAGCTAGACAGTATATATATATTTTTTTTTATAAAATCTTGCCTTTAAGTGTGGCGTGCCCACCTTGCTGCAGGTTTTAAGGTTTGATTTTGTGGATAACTGACGCAGGCTTGCATTAACAGCATGCTGAGGGGTTTGTCCTTTGTTGGCCCTCCTGCGATCATGCCCTCTAGAAAGGAGGGTGCTTGGCTGTGTCTCCTTTTCAAGCCTTTGAGCAGCAGGCTTGTGGAATGCTAATAAGACCAGTCAGTGATGTGTAGCAGCTCTGTTATAGGAATCAATCCACTCATACACCATTCATTTCTAATGAACACATTGTTAATTTCACTAACGCACACTAACTGCCAAAGTGCAGTGATTGCTTGTACACTGTCCTATTATGGATATTCCAGAAAGGCTAGACATATTGATTGTGCTGTGCAATAGTAAAAGCTCTAGCTTATCTGGGTATATTGCACTAATGGTCTGAGTCATAGTGTAGAGTGTGCAATTATGCATTTGCTCTTTTTTTTTTTAAAAAAAGCTTAGCTTCAGAAGCTTTCCTCTGTTGGCAATTTGAGTAGATCAGTGATGATAACTGTATATTTAACAGTCCAGCGTCTGCTTTTAAATAGCAGCACAATATTCACAACATGCTGAAGAAAAACATACTTTGTTTCCTGCTGTAGAAATTAAAACAGACCCTAATCTAATTCAAGATCAAATGAAAGGTACTTGAGATCGAGATTCTGTGTTTTCCCTAGGTCAGGCATGTTCATTTTTTTGAAGTTTCAGAGTTAATTATTTCTCAGTCTACGTATTTAGTGCCTAATGTGCAGTAACACCATCAATATGGGACATGATAAAATCAGGGGATCCCTGAGATTGAGTTTCTCTTGAAATAGAAGAGTCATTGCTGTGTGGCTTCTATTTGCAGAAAAGAAAACCCTCTTGAAATGTACCCCCCAGCTGATTAAAGCCTTTACCTAATGAAAACACAGATGGTGGTGAATTACAGTTCTTTGGAATGACTTCCAGGGCCTTCTAGATCGGATCAGTCTGTCTGAAACACAGACATCAAACTTGGGCTTTGGCTGCTGGTTTCTAAACCTGGGCTTCATGTTTCTTTCTCGGTCATGTACATGCTTTTAGCATGAGGATGAGAAGAAAGCTTTGTTTATCTGGGTCAGGGTTCATATCTGGAAGTATTTTAAATTCCATAAACCACAGCACCCATATCTAAGCATTTTCTACTGTACTGTGTGGAAAAATCCAGTAACGTTTTGCTTTAAAATTGATGGATGAGAGCCCTTGCAGAAAAAGCGTGCATCTGCTCTGTCCTTCACCGAGACGTGTGTGTGTGTGTGGGGGGGGGGTGTTAGGGACAGAGGGGGGTTACAGAACGCCTGCAGTGGTAAAGGGGATATTGCGAGAATGCTGAGAAATGGCTTGAGTTAGGGAAACACTGCAATTTCACAAGATGTCATTTTGTGACAGCTGGTTGGGAGCTGTGTGCAAGGATTAGTATCGAGAAAGTGCGGAATTCAGCCTGCAGGTCAATAAATAAATCATGTGTTCCCTGTCCTTAAAATAGAAATGAAAGATTAATTCCCTTCAAAGCTCACACAAAGGCACACGGGGAAATTAGGGAATTGTGCTGTTTACTGTTCAGAGTCTTTCGCTAAGCCTTCACCTGATATGTCAGACAGATTGTTCCTTGTCTTTTTTTTTTTAAATGTGTGACAGATGAAAAACAGACTGTTGAGACTATGGGAGGGTAGAAATGTTAGGAAGTATTTTTTTTACAACTCATTGTGTTTAAAATGAGCAATAATTGCCTCACATTATTAGGGCTGTGTTTAACTCGGCTTGTATAATTAAGGTTTTTACAGTACTAAAAAAACCCATTGTAACACCAAATGAGACCTTAATCTAAAGGGCTGCTACAGGAGTCAGAACAGATTAAGACTAAAGGGGAAAATCTTAGGATTCAGTAATTCTGCACAAACACTACTGGGGGTGAGGAAAGCCCAAGATTGGGGTAATTCCACTATGTGGCTGCCTGTTTGTGAAAGTTATGCAGTGTGGTTTGGTTTAACAGTCTGCTGACGTATAGTACTTCTTTTAGTGGGCCAGTCTCTTTGACTTTATTTTTATGTTAATCATCATCACAAAACAAGTACAATAAATGGAAGTAGTGGGCGGATTTCCCCTTTACCCAGTATGAACTGTGTGTCAATACCAAGTGAAAGCCATCATGAACTGCAGCTTTAAGAGTTTAAGGTTTTAGCATTAAAAGAAACTCAAGGAAGTATAACTTTTCTGGAGATAATGGAGATAATGATTTAAGGATTTGTTAAAGTGTGGATGTCTGTAGCCATTCTAAGTTTGTTTTAGACTCTAGAAGTTCCTCATTATGCAGCTGTCAAGCCCAAAATAAAATGAAGGTCCTAACTCTTACTGTGAACTAAATACACTAATGCTGGAGGGATTTTACAGCCACTCTTCTACAAAACAATGTAGTAGAGTCACATTTTAACAATTTCTTTTGCTAATCTAAAACTGCATTTTTATAAAAAACAAATGTGTATTTGAAGTTGAAAGAAAATAATAAGGGTGTCTCTTGTGGCACACAGAATATGCATAATACATTCATCTAAGTGATAATGAAAATCCAATAAAAACTCATCTGCTACCTTTCCCTCCATTATTTATATGTACTAGATAGACTGTGTCTGTGCACCTGTGTGTAATTTATTAAAAGATTAAGTGCTTTTGGTTCACATTGGGTAAAGCTGAGGGATTTGAAGTAAATGGCTCCACTTTCTGAGAAGCTTTTGTTTTAGATTTATATGTCAGAAGTAAAAAAAAAACACGATTTTCAAGTGACTGATGACAGGAAGTGGTCAGGAGAAATAGCTTACAGCCAAGGAGCCTTTGTCACGATGCCAGTCGATTAGGGGTCCTTAAGAATAGCAATTAATTAGTTTTCTCTTTTCTGGGAGAGGGGTCTGTCTTTGTAGTCTGGAATGTCTTGTTTGCTGAAATTCCAGGATGACTCAAAGGCAAGTTGAGAAGGAAGGAAATGTTTTAATTTTTCTGTTTTATCACAAAAACCTCCTAACTTGGCTGCTGTACCGCCCAGTTCAGCTGCAGGGATTCACATGCTGCTTACTGATAGTTGTAAGAGAACCCAATAAATTGCATATTATTCACTCACCTGCAAATCATGTAACAGGTTACAGCTATAGCTGTCTCTGGAGGTTAGACGTGGGAAGATTTCAATACGCAAATAAACCCTGCCTCCTTCTTTGATACACAGCAGCAAATTTGAACAAAGCCTAGCCCTTAAATAGATATTTCTGTCCTAAGCAGATTTTCAAGAGGCTAGATCATAAACATGGAGATGTGTTTAAAGGTGTTCCTTTATAATTTGAGTTGTACATGAATATTAATGCAATTGAATTGTCCATGTGAATGTAACATATGAGCTATCACTTCTCAGAAATTAACTTCTACTCCTGTGATGTGTCCATGGGGTTTCATTGATTTTTTTGGTGGGGTGGCTGTTCAGGCTGTACTGGTGCAGATCAATCATGCATATATTATTTTTCTTCTGTTCATTAATCCAGAGTAGCTGAGATTTTCTCCTAGCTAAAAGCCCAGCTCCATTAAGATGTCTGAGCCCAGTGCCATGAAAAGCTTTATCCATCAAATTAACTGTAGACATGGTGTAATATGCGTTGGTAAGGCTATTTTCGGTGGCTGTTTTTTCTTTCTCTTTTGCTTATGCGCGTAGCACTTCATGTAAATCTGAAATGTCTTTATTTTATCTTTAAAAGGATGAAGTGGACAGTTTGAATCCAGTTCTCAGGGACAATCCTCAGCTTCACGAAGAAGTGAAAGCCTGGGTTAAGGAACAAAAGGTTCAGGAAATTTTTATGCAAGGTATTTTTTTATGTTTTTTGACCACTTGCATGAGCATATTTGAAAATCCACCAACAGGTTTTGTGTCAGTGTACTAAAAATCTATTTTCTAGAGGAGTTTGTTAAAAATAACATGAATTGGTGAATTGTTTACTCTGGGTATAGGAGTCACTGCAAGTTTTTTTTTGTTGTTGGAACAAGGGTCCCAGTGAAGTAGATTTTGGTCATCTTGCAAGAAGCCTGTTTACATGGTCCATGATAGAATTCCATTTGAGATCATTGTTAAACTTGGCAACTATCAAAGAAGCCAAAGTCCAACTGTGTAAATAATTGGAACCTAGTACTGGAGAAAAAGGACAAATCTGTCTGTATTCTGGGGCACATGAATGATTATATTCTAATTGTTCATTTCCTCTGGACGTACATGTATACCTACAGTATGTGCGCGATCTTAGGAATTGCTCGTCAACACAGCAGGGGGTCCCACACTGCTGGCGTTTCCTAGAACTTTCCAAACAAAAGAGTTGATGTTACATAAGAGAACTGCTACTGTCAAGCATTTAATTTTTAACAACCGGTGCGCAAGGCAATATATTTTTGCATAAACCCGTTGCACTCCAGTCAGTGGTTTGAGTGAGAGGAGTGCCAGTCTCACACGTTAGTGATCAGCCACTCTTTATATTTGCACAAAAAAACAATTTTAAATATTTCGTGAGTTGCTCTTCAAAGTTAAACCACTACTTCATGAAAGCTGGCTGCTTATAACAGTCGTATTATACTTGATATATTTTGAGATCTATACATACTGCTAATATAGAACATATTGACTGTCATAGTAATGCTTGTTCAAACTCTGTCTCTAACTCTGGGTGTATGTCCCGCTGTGGTTTCTTTGGAATTTCCCTAGGTCCCTATTCGTTAAATGGATATCGAGTACGAGTTTATAGACAAGATTCAGCTACGCAGTGGTTCACAGGCATCATCACCCATCACGATCTCTTCAGCCGCACTATGATTGTGATGAATGACCAGGTAAAATGATTTTGCATGGATCTATGTGAGAGTACTGTTCTTTAAATGATGTACGTCTTCATTTCTGTATTGTTTTTAGTGGTGGTGAGAAAATATTATATTAACGTTTACAGTTTTTTCTTCTTCACTGAACGCGTTGGCAATTTCCAAGAATTCATGTAATACCTTGCAGCGATCCTTAATAGTCTTTCTTGCTGTTGTTTTACGAAGAACTGCAAACAAATGTTTTTTGTTTGTTATTCTTGTCATCCAAGGTACTAGAGCCACAGAATGTTGATCCTTCTATGGTACAGATGACCTTTTTGGATGATGTCGTTCATTCTCTGCTGAAAGGTGAAAACATTGGAATTACATCCAGGCGCAGGTCTCGCTCCAGCCAGAACAGCAATACAGCTCACGTGAGTACCCAACACACCTGCAATCTGGCACGTTTTTATTCCGCATTAAAAATGCTGGGCTCTATCAGGACTCATTTTCTTTAAAAAAAAACAAAACAAAACTCTTACTGCTGGAACAGAGTTTTAACTTCATATAAAAAATATTCATTTAATCTCGGTAGCTGAACCGCTAAAGGCCTTGGCTCTGATCACAGGGTAGGCCCCTGCGTGACAGCAGCTGGGCCTGCTTTCTTGGCTGGCTGGGACCAAGGCGATGTGGAGATGGTGCTGGGATGGTTATATACTGGGTTTCTTTGGATTGCCCTCCCAACAGTTTGTCCTTTAACCTGCCAGGAGGCTCTGAGCTTACAGAGCTATCAGAGAAGGCTTTGTCAGTTCCCTGTCCATTGCTTTAGATGTGCTGTTGGCTTGGCACTGTAGGTGCACAGTGCACAAAGAAGTAGGTGGTCTGACGGCATGTTTTGGAGGACATAACGTCAGTCTCTTCTGCCGGGGTAAGAGCATTAGAACTGTGAGCTGAGTTAAATTAGGAGTGGCTGTTTTAATTTGTGGGCTTGTGTGAAAAAACAGTGCAATTACTCAGTGCTTTCAGTATCAATTTAAAGTTGCAAGTTGGCTCAGATGTATTTGCATATCCTATATATTTAACTGTAATTTGTCATTTATTTGTAGTATCTATTTATAGTACAGTACTCATGTAAATGAGTAAGAAGGATTTTGAATTAACATAGTTGAGGACCCTGGTCCCCTTTTTGTAAGGCAGAGCCCACGCTGAGAGAAGTGTGAACTTTTCTTAAGAAATACTGAATTATAAAACAGGGTTAATCCTGTTTGTTCTTTATATAAGTCTTTTTATTTCTAGTATTTGGGCAAAATAAAACCCATTGCCTATTCTAGTTAGCTTTAAAGTAAAGTTCCTATGTGCTTATAAATATATAAAATCAACAGTTAAAACATCACTAGTCCCTTTATCATTAACAAGATGTTTTTGTTCCACTTTTTTTTTGTTCTTTTTTTTCTTTTTAAACATTAATTGGGGGATATGCAACCAGACCACAGGAGGGAGACTGACCAGCAGCACAGGAAGCAATCAGGTACCAGGCAGCGGCTGTTGCCAGTTCAATTTAAAACCTACAGTATTTCCTTGTAAAGAAACTGCATATCCCGACTTCAAGAACATTAAGAAACGATAAGCGGACTCGTGATGATGTTCATACTGCTTAATGTGGATGTTTTTAAAGCCATAGGAACTCTCCTTTCAAGCAATTGTTTTTGTTAAACAATTTAGGCACTTGTTTCTGAAATGACTCTTTCTCTGCTGTTGATGAGGGATAATCAGCACAAGGAAATTTCTCCACGAACTGGATTTTGGTAGCATTTTAGTTTAGGGGCTGCAATCTGCATTTCATAAATGTGTAACAAGCTGTTATCAAGCAGTCATGCGATTCGAAACGAATTCCTAGACCATTAATGAGTGAGAATAATTTGACTTGGTGATAAACATGCTGGGGTCAGTTATTGAAACAGTATTGATGACCTTATATTTTACAGTCTATATAAAAATGTATAATTGGATTTGTAGCCCCTAATCTAAAGTGTTAACAGGGTTTATTTGCTTGACTGTTGGGTGACGTTTGTGAGAGATTTCGCATCAGGCTCAGGCCTTATGGGGGAGGGCAGGAAGCGCGACGTTCTCTAATCACTGAAGCTGACATCACCCATGTGACGTTAAAATGACCTTTGTCGTTCTCACTGGATTTCATTTAGGGTCATTACACACGTGCCCAAGCAAACAGCCCCAGACCAGTCATGAATTCTCCAACCACCACGCCGAAACAGGCGCAGCAGCAGCAGCAGATACAGCAGCAGCAGCAAATCCAGCAGCAGCAGCAGCAGCAGCAGCAGCAGCAGCAAATCCAGCAGCAGCAGCAGCAGCAGCAGCAGCAGCAGCAAATCCAGCAGCAGCAGCAGCAGCAGCAGTCGCCTCTCCAGCACCGTGCTTCACGCTCCAGCAGGAGGAAGGGATCCGACAGCAGTGTGCCAGATGAAGATAAGATAAAAGAGGAAAAACTTGACAATGGAGGGCGAGGAGGTGTGTCAGTTTAAGAGACATTTTACACGCCGTTTCCTTGCACACATGTACAGCACATCTAAATGTACTTTTATTACGGTCTTAAGGAATTTTAATTTTCAAAGTTTGATTTGACCTTTCCCCCCCGGTGAGAGTTGATGTGAATCTGAGTCCAGAGTTGATGTTTATCCTTTCATTATTGAATTGGAAAAGCTCCTGCAGCCACTTTTGGTACAGTTTTATTATTAGTCTTCTAGCTCATTTCAGTCAAGATTTAACTTTGTTGCTCTTTTTTTTTTAACCTGTTTACATTGAGACTTTTTTTTTTTGCCGAACAGCTTTAAAGATTACAGAAGCATTATAACTTACCACGGGTTGGAATACCAGAATGAACATTACAAAAGGTGTTGTACACTGAACAGAATCTGTGAAAACAAGAGGATCACTGATGCAATTCCCCCGAGTTACATTGTAAAAGAATAGCTGCTGCACAGCGTGAGCCTCTTGTGTCACTGCCCAGAAGCCCTCATCCCTTTGGTAACTGTGGCAACTAAATGAGTGGTAGTGTTTGTGTAGCTGACAAAAACTGCAGAGTCTTTCCACGCAGATTTGTGCAGGCTGTGAGGGAGAGTAAATGTGAGCATGACAGGGGCAGTATCTACGATGAATTGGACATTTTAAAGGATTTTAAATTGAAGGGTGGCCTCATTTCTCAAATTTGATATACATTACATGAGATGCATTACAATTTAACATTAGTAGGTTCTTGTGGAGCTATAGTGCTTTGGTTTCACATTAAGAACGTTTTTTTGGGGTTTTATTTGGAGGAACAAAAAGAGTCCTGTATATTGAGTATATTTTCCTCAAAGCAAAACATTTGATTTATATGGATTTTATTTTTACTTGCAGACATTTCAAAAACTAAAACCAAGCAAATTATGAATAAAAGAAGAAAACCTGAAGAGGATGAAAAGAAAGTGGGTTTAAAAAAACTGAAGGCAGACAATGTCTCAGATTTTTCTGAGAGCAGCGACTCTGAAAACTCCAATAAAAGAATCATAGATTCTTCCTCAGAGCAAAACTCAGAGAATGAGTTAAGAACCAAAAGCACTTCAAAGGCTAGCGAAGAGGAAGACAAATCCCAGGGTAGCAAGGGGGCAGTGGAGACGACTCTAATAGATAGACACTCTCCCTGGGATGAAAGAGAGGATGAACAAATTCCAAAAGTACTTCAGTCAGCTGACTGTGAACTGCAAGAGGAAAAGTCTCAGCACCAGCCAGCCAATCCACCCACTCCCTGCGATCCGAATGTCAGTACTCCAGACGTTCAGGGGTGCATTGTGGAAATGAAAAGCACTGTGAAAACTTTACCCAAGGACCATTATGCTAACAGTGCACCACAGACTGCTACACCAAAATGTGTTATCGATATAACTGCGGACAATAACACAAATAATGGGTCTCAGGAAAATTCTGAGGCTGTTTCTGCTTTGCTGGCTTCTCAGAAGTCAGAATCATATATATCGGAGTCCAGACATTTAGTGTTAAACCCTTCCGTTTCAGATGGCAGGAAGCCAGAGATTGAACAACAGATGGCACATAGCCTTGGCAGTAAGATCGAGTTTGCCCATTCGGAGATTATAAAACCAGTTGCATCTGTCAGTGAGTCTGCTGCTGTAGCTGAAAAAGAAAAACTACATTATTCCTCCATTATGCCATGCATTTCAAATGCATCCATTGCTGAAGAAAGTAGAAGGTCTCACAAGTTGAGCCCCTCTCCGGAGCTTCATAAACCCAAGTCAAACCCTTCTCCTGAAACTCTGAAGCCCAAGTGTAATCCCTCTCCTGATGTCCTGAAGTCTAAAGCCCACAGCCTTTTGGATACTTCCAAACCTAAACCAAATATATCCCCGGAGGTTTCGAAGCATAAAGTTAGGTATCAGGACAATCAAGCAGCTGGAGCTGGAGCTGCCAACAGGCCGGCGAATAAAGCCGAGCCCGACGTGCCTCGCTCAAGCTTCAAGCCCGTGCCTGCTCGAGTGAGCCAGGCTGAACCCACAAAGAGCCCTCTCATTATTGACAAGAATGAGCACTTCACAGTCTACAGGGACCCGGCTCTAGTCAGGCCAGAGACCGAGACTAACCCCATTGCCTATTTGCACCAGCATCTTCACCCTCTTCATGCCTCTTCGCACGCGACGTGTTTAACCGCCACGACCCACCACCCATCGCATCTCCTCCCTGGATCCTCACCTCAGGCACCCATGGCTGCTATTAACGCCCATGCTCTGAGCAGTGCTTCGCACCACTCTGTCCATCACCCTCATCTTCTTCCAACAGTGCTACCTGGAATGCCCACGGCCTCTCTGTTGGGTGGGCATCCTCGCCTGGACTCTGGCCATGCCAGCGGTCTGGGGCATTTAACTCTAGCCCATCATCACTCACATCAGCAGCAGCAGTTTTTACAACAGCAGGCTCCTCACCTTCTGACACAGACTCACACCAGTGCTTCATATAACCAGCTTGGGCTCTATCCTATCATTTGGCAGTATCCGAATGGCACCCACTCTTATGCAGGACTTGGACTGCCTTCTTCAAAGTGGGTGCATCCTGAAAATGCAGTGAACTCAGAAGCCAGTTTGAGGAGGGTATGTCTTTTAATATTTTATATAAATACATTATTAATTACTGGTAAATGGACATCCACCTGTGTCTGTAAACCTATGATTATATCGAGCTAAATTTCATGCTATGTGTGCATCTGTTTCTCAATGTATAATTTTTGTAAAGAAACATACTTTTAGAATGTACTGCATATATGTAGTTTTTTTGGATGTAAATTATTAATTATATTATGTGCATTTAAATTGGTAAAAAAAAACAAATAGCAGCTGAACCCAGGATTCCTTGTTATAGTTAATGCATCATAAGATGTTTCTGCACTTTACGCTCCTGTTATTTCAGGCACAAAACCAACAACCTTTAATGAATGGAAATAGTGAGTGTTTACCAGGCTGTGTCAATATTAACAGCAGCCTGGGAAATAATGTGATGCTGCATTCATAGCACGCTTGCCTTCCAAACTCCAGATGTGAGCATATGCGCTTCGCCAAGGGACATCCCTCATTCCTTCATGCTGAAGGATTTAGTTGTACTGGGCTCGTCATCTCAACAGATCTTTACATTAGTATCTGATACACTCATCGCAACTGAACCCTGCAGTGCTGGAGAAGCAGGGCAAGCTCTCCCCACAGTCTGCTGTGTGTTTCCTTTCCTAATGCATATGGACACTGGCGCATGCATTCCCCTGGTAGTCTGGTATTAACCAGGAGGCTTTGTAAGTCATATGTGAAATAGCAAGAGCTTTTGCTATTTGTACCTTTCTTGTCTGACAGTCATGTGCTGTTATTGGTGGCAGTAATGGCAGCAGCAGGAGTTGTAGAGGTATCATTTTAGCTTGAGCTGCCTTCATGGTCTAATAAACACAGTGAAGTTTGGAACATTAACCTTGGAGTCGGTATGTTACCTGTCGCGAGGCTGATGGCCATGTTTGTGTGACAGAACACCCCCAGCCCCTGGCTCCACCAGCACACACCCGTGACCTCCGCAGACAGCCTGGGGCTGCTGAGCCACGGCCCCGTCAGACCTGCCAGCGCAGACCCTCACCGGCCAATCAAGATCAACGCACACACCAGTCCCCCGCTGTCCAAGGCAGCTGGAGAGCTTCACAAAGAGTGAGTGAGCCGCCTGGAGACTGTCCGCGCCAGATTCTCTGTGATCGGGTTAAAACACAGGAATGTGGGCTCAGGAAGAAAGCAAGCGTGTTAACATTACATTTTATCTAAAGCCATATTGAAGATTTTATTTGGCTTCCATCTGACATTTTAGGCAACGATATAAACTGTGGAGACGTACATTTGATAAATGCATTTGTGGCTCTAATGAATTTCCTAATGAATTGTTTAAGGAAATTGCTTTTTATTAAAACATTTTTTGTGAAAGTGTCCCTTTTTTCCACATCTTTTTATTTTTCAAGACATTTTTAAAGCTATTGTAGTCATTGTTTATGTGGTGAGAGGAATGAATTATACAGTCTTTCTGGTATATAATAATTAATTATCCTCATTATGTCATCCTGCAATACACTGGCTAAAAACAAAATCGCTCCCTGTAAAGTAAATCCATACTAAGTGTAGGTCTGTGATTTTTTTTGCTGTCATCCTAGGGAGCTGGAGAAGAAGACCTTCATGGACCCCATGCGAGCAATTACTCCAGCACATATAAAAGCTGAGCAAGACCACAGCAGAACATCCACGGGCAAAGACAGCCATTTGCACAGGCACTTCTTGGACCCTATCTCTAGTCACTGCAAACCGCAGAGAGTAACACAAGACACTGGGGACAGAGTGAACAAATACAAAGAGGAGAACCGCAAGATTCTTCAGGAGAGCATTGAGGTAGCCCCCTTTACAGCCAAGATAAAGTCAAATGAGGGGGAGAGAGATTCTTACCCCAGGATACCTTCCTTACCCACAGCTGGTCCTAAAAGCCATGTCATTAAACCAGACAAAGACACTGAGCACTCTGCAGCAGAACTCTACAAATTCAAGCATACGGTGCCACAGTCTTTGCCCCAAAGTAACTATTTCACTACCTTGTCCAACAGTGTGGTGAATGAACCTCCAAGATTATATCCATCCAAGGATGGGAATTCTTACTTTGAGAAGGTGAACAGCAGCCAGTTGGCAGCATCTAATCCCATGACCTTGGCTTCTTTTAGCAGCAAGTCCCTCTCAAAACCCCCTCCTCTGATCAAGCATCAGACAGAGGGAGAGGGACTAATGAGCAAAATCACAGAGCAGTTTTCTCAGCAAGTGGCTTCACATCCTCTCAGCGCTTCTGGTAACGAAAGGAGGAGTCCTGCAATAGCGCCTTCGAACCCTCTCAGATGCATGCCAGCATTACACAGAGCTCCAGTGTTTCATCCTCCGACTCAGCAGACCTTAGACCGAAAGGAGGGCAGTTACGGTAGACTTTCTCCACCAACGCTGACTCCGATCCAACCAGTAAGCTCAGCTGGTAAAATCTCTGAACAGCAAAAACCACCAACACTGATACCGGAACTAAGGGACTTGAATGCTGTTAATAAAAACAGTTCTGAGATGACTTCATCAGAGATCTGGAAAGCTGGTGACTCTCAAAACCATGAGAAACCAGGATGGCATTTAGAAAAAAGCAGTGGGAAGCCACAAGCAGCAACAGCATCTGTTATTGTACGCCCACCTACGTGCATAAAATACGATAGCCTGCCAGGACCAAAGACAGTATCCAAGGAACCGGTCACTGAGAGATCGTTTACAGGAACAAATCAGACAGATTGCTTCAAAGCAGCGGAAGGCAGAGAGCCTGGGAGAGTCATTCTGCCAAACACGAACTTAGAGGATACTTGCACACAGTATAAGAAGAACTCTCTAACAATATCCCAGGGAAGTATTTCCAACTGTATGGTGGCTTCTGCCAATTCTGTGTGCAGTACCAAAACTGATGTAACCACTTCTGCAGCCACAACTACCAGTGTCTTGAGTAGAGTTGAATCAGACATGACTTACTCGCTGTCGACCACTGTCTCGGCTAGCACTAGAACAGAGGTTGCTGGCCTTAAAGCTGGAGCTCACTCAGTAGCAGAACAGCAGGAGGGAAAGACCCAAACCACATCCCCTAGCACGGTTCTGCCACCTAACACAGGAAGCACTACACAGGCCAGTGCAGGCCATAGTTATTCAAGCACATTTTTCCATTTGAAAAAGCACAAGCTGGCCGCAGCTCAGTCCAGGAGTACTAATGCTAATGAAAGTGAGCCTGTCAATGCTAAAATTCAGAAGTGCTCAATGGCCATTTCACAGGATAGTGGTGTACTGAGCAACACAATAAACAAAACCAGCTCTTTGACTAATGGGCAGCCTGCGCAGCTGAGCCAGCCCAACTACCACACAAAGCTTAAAAAAGCTTGGCTTACAAGGCATTCGGAAGAAGATAAAAACACTAATAAGACGGAGAAACTGGGGAGCGCTGTGTCAGAGATTATTAAGCCGTGCACTGTTAGTTTAATTGCGTCCACATCAAGCGATGTGGAAAATAACAAGGAAAGTAAAGGGCAGGATGACAGACTTGCACAAGAAGACAGGAAAACAAGAAGGGGAACCAAAAGGACTTATGAGTCAGGCTCTGAGAGCGATGACTCAGATGGAAGTGAGAGCAAATCTGAGCAAAGGGCTAAACGTCAGCCCAAGCCTACATACAAAAAGAAACAGAATGACATGCAAAAGAAAAAGAGCGACAATGAAAAAGAAGAGGATGAAGTAAAACCCAATGGTATTTTTAGAAGTGCAAGGGAAAAAACAAAACTGAAGTTGGCAAGCAGTAGTAAGTTCATAATGTGCTCTTTTAATGTATTATTTTGTGGTTTTGCATTATTCTTACCTTGGCATTCTTATATTTTTAAGACGAGGCAATTGCTTCTATTAAATCTTTAATCTCAATCTAAAAAAATATGGTGACCTTATGTTTTTATGTATATACTTCTTCATACATAATATATGAAAATACCATTTCTTTACACTTCAGATATTAGATACTTACTGGCCTCATTATTAGCTCCAGAAGGGAAGGTATTGAATGGCAGAAAAGTCTGAGTAATTCACATCTGTGCTGCAGATGCAAGTTACAAGCAGCCTTGAGTAGGAATGTTCACGTTAATGTGAAATACCTCTTGCCAAGACATGTTTAGTGTCTGCAGTAAGAAAACCCTTACCCAGAATAGTACTGAGGTCTTAGCGCTTTTCTGTTGGGATTATTAGAGGCTAAAATGAAATCCAGTCTTTACTAAAATAAGCTCTTTATGAAAGCACACTGCTGTTATTAACATTATTAATATCAACTGATGTTGGTCTTAAAGTATGAATATGAATGAAAAGTAGGAAAATATTTAATGCAAGTAAAACTTTCCAGGCTTGAATTTTTAGAAGTGGTGTATTTTGCAAAAGTGAATTATGTAAAAGAATAAACAAGATGTGAAAACGTCACCATTTCACTTTAGCAAAGCGTTGATCAAGTTACCTCACTATCATAGACTGACGCCTGAGCTCCAACATCTGTCCCTTTTCCAGGCTTTTTCATTGTTAATGTCAATGTTAATGACCCACACAGAATTCAGATCCCTCTTTGATGCTTACATCCTCGTCATTATAAACTTGCATGTACATACTTCTTTTCATCCCGGAAAATCCCAAATCACTGCACGTACAGGAGGGGGTGCACTTCAGTTGTCACTGCAGTGTCGTGCTCACCTGAGTGTCACGCAGCAATCGGGTGGGAAGTGAGAAATCGTGTCAACAATTAAATGAAAAGGAGACATAGGGAAGCCAGATTGTGCAAGCCCAGAGTGCGGTGTATTCAGCCACTGGGGTTAGCTCCTGCACTCTCGAGAACAGTGCCCTGGGAACTTTAGCGGCCAATACGTCAGAACCACAGTTTAAAATCTCATCCAAAGGGCTTCTTCTTTCGCAGCATTTGAGTTCCATTATGTTTCTGTGTCATTTCGCACAGTGGCACTGGGGCCGATTGAAAATGTACACTTCAAATATTAAAATAGGAGCAACATTTCCTAAAGCGGAGCAAAATGTTGGAGACTTTTGAAGTCTACCAGTAACTATTGAGTTTTCAAGTAATAGAAATATAACTTTTTCTTACTGATGTAGTTTGTTTTCTTGCATGCTTTCTTCTACATTGGATAAAGAGTCCAAGCATACTATTTTCAAAGCACCTAAAGAGTGTTTTGTTTATAGATGGAATACCTCGTTCAGTATTAAAGGACTGGAGGAAGGTGAAGAAACTGAAGCAGACAGGAGAATCTTTCCTCCAGGACGATTCATGCTCTGAAATAGGACCCAACCTTCAGAAGTGCAGGGAGTGTAGGGTCATCCGCAGTAAGAAGGGAGAAGAGCCTGCACACTCCCCTGTCTTCTGCAGGTTTTACTATTTCCGTCGGTAAGTTATCTACAGCTGCAGATATAGACAAATGACAAGTTCAAACACCTGCAGTTTCTCTGTCTCTTTAAGAAAAGCATGAAATAATGTGTTGTATTGGAAATTATTTTTAAGGCTCAGATGCTTTACTTTTACAAAAAAGTCTTGCAGTTTTTCTGACTGTTCAGTAAATGTAGTTTAGGTAGAAATAGGTTTCTGAAAAAAAGATTTTGTCCTTTTGCACTCTTAAAGATGCGGCAGATGTAGAACAGAATCTCAGTTGAAGGACAGGCTTATGTGCTTCCAAGTGACAGACTCTTATCGTTTCAAACTGCCCACTGAGTCAATCTTACTGCCTTTGTTCAGGTGACCGTTCTCAGTTTGTTTTTCTCCTTGCTTCTCTTCTCTAGCCTTTCTTACAGTAAGAATGGAGTTATCAGAATAGATGGCTTTTCCTCACCAGACCAATATGATGATGAGGCAATCAGCCTCTGGGCTCCGGATGTTTATGAGGACAATGATCTTGACCTAGAAACGTCCAAATATATTCTGAATTACATTGGAGATAAATTTTGTCAGCTTGTAGTGTCTGAAAATACAGCTGTGACATGGATTAAAAAAGATGGTTAGTATTATTATATTGTATTGGAGTATATAGTGGTGTTCTGTATCTTATTACATTTACTTTTATGGTTTGAATCTTTACAGTAAATGTAGATAAGTAATCATTTACATATAATGTGGTACTTTTTTGCTCTCACAAGATTTTATGGTTTATCTTTTAGACATGTGGAAAGTAAATGATAAGACAGCCGTTTACCTCTTAATTAGCTAGAGGTAATATTCATTCTCATCTTTTGTGAGTATCTGCAAACAAAATATATAGAAAACAAGTTTTTGTAACATTCTGAAGATCAGTTATGATTTTTTTTCACCATCTGTTATGTAGAATGTGCTTACAGCTGGGAATATTCTGCCTGTGAATGTTCATTTCATCAACAGTGTTTGCTTTGCCTTTCAGCCAAAATTGCCTGGAAGAGGGCAGTAAGAGGAGTGCGGGAGATGTGTGATGCATGTGAAGCCACATTGTTTAACATTCACTGGGTCTGCCAAAAATGTGGATTTGTGGTTTGTTTGGACTGTTACAAGGCAAAGGAAAGAAAGAGTTCCAAAGGTCAGGCGCTGATTTGATTTCTTTCTGAAAACTGTGCCATAGAATTTGTTAAAACACCATAGGCTTTAAATAGGTCTTTGTGATTTTTTTATTGTTTTTTTCTCAGACCAGTTCTGTCTTTGTAGTTGTTCTTTCATAGTATATTTTTTTGGGAAAAAGGCACATTGCATTTTGCTGCTTAAAAATGCTGAAGCTGTAAAAATATCGGAGATTCTGTTAAATTCTGCCTTTATTTTTGAGCTAGTGGTAATATGGGGAAAATCTAGGCAGATCAAGTCAAGACACGTGGGATTTCTTGGCTATGTCTGTTGTGATTATTAAGCATTTGGTCTGTAGCCTTTCCTGTTTGAGCTGTACTGCTTCTGTTTTTTTTCCTTGCACAACATGTGCAGTTTGGCTCCAACAATAGCTAGGCTTATTCAGGGTAAGCCCCACATTTAAAAGATTTTACCCTGGTCTTTTTCTGGGCAGTGATTTGATCACATACAAGAATATCCACCTCGTTCATAAAAATATCCGAAGAGGATTTTAATTCACACATTTTTTCCTCAGTGTAGTGATTACTTGAACATCCCTAGCAACTGTTTGAGGATAGAAGTATGTTCATTCAGATAGATAATGTAAAAAGAGTGCGTCGCTGTGGAGTTTGCAGAGCATCAAAGACAAGTGGCCAGATGGGACGGTGTCTTGAAGGAGCCTGCTTCCCTTCCCCGTTCCTCCCATGTGGGAACAGGAATTGTTGCTGTGGGCCAGTATGTACAGATACAGCTGGGTGTGACCACTGGAGATTCCACATTAAAAAAAAATGCCGTTTCACCTCATCTAGGTTTTGTGAAAAATTATTTACAAAAGTAGAAACCCTCTGCCACAGGATTTGTAGAACACAAGCCTACTGCTATGCAGTTTTTTAAAAGCTTTTGTTCAGTGCCAGAGCATTCTTTATTTCTAGCAATACATTTATATATGTAATCAATAGTATTTTCTCAATGATTTAAACATAGTGTCTAAGAAAACAAGATGCTCGGATCTGTTACTAAGACTCAATAGATGTATTCCCGCTTGCTGGTTTTCTTTTTAGATGTAAAGGCATGAAAAGAGATGCATGCCCCAGCAGGCAAATTGGTGTTGCGCTCTGTTATCTAGGATTCACTTCTGTGTTTGTGAAAGGAAGACAAATGTGTTGTTCCAAATAGGTAGCATCTCTTCTGTGTTGTGTTTTAGACAAAGAGCTGTATACGTGGATGAAGTGCGTCAAGGGACAGCCTCATGATCATAAGCACTTGATGCCAACACAGATTATTCCAGGAACTGGTACGAGCCAATACTTGCATTTTGGGCGATTGCCAAGTTTGTAATTTTTTTTCCTCATTGTAACTTACAAACACCTCAGGGGAGATTTACTTTCATTGATGGTGCAGCTGTATATGGAGAAATATAACCCCATCCTTCCCAGAACTACTGAGATGAAAAAAAGAATACTAAACCACATTTCACATGATAAACTAGTTGAAGTGCTTGTCACTGGGCCTGAGTAATGCATTCTTGAAGAACTGCCAAGATGCCACACTATTCTGCCTGTTATAAAAATTTCCATAAGAGCTGGAAACCTAACTTGTTACGCAAAATGAAATAACAGATTGTGGAGCTGTACTTTCAAAATCTCACTTCTAAGAATGTTTCTAAGTACACACTTATATATTTTTTTAAATTTGTATTTGTGTGTGTGGGCGGTGGGATGTGGTAGTAGGGAGTTTTCAGGGTTTGTTCCCCCTGTTTTGCAGGATTTATTTTACATTGAAATCCCTGGATCACAGTGACTCTCCCAGAATACACTCATAGCTTTCTCAAATGTTTTTTTTGTTGTTTCAAATCTGTTTTCATTGGAATATTTCTAAAATTCAGGGAAGTGCTGTAGCGTGCAGTGAAATCTGTGCTGTTGTGAACTGTGGGCCCTGAATGTGGATTGAATCTGTAGGCTTTTATTTATTTATTTTTGCCCAGTATTGACGGATCTGGTCAATGCCATGCACTCGCTCCGAGACAAGTACGGAATGAAATCGCACTGTCCTTGTGCTGTGAAACAAAATACTCCGCTTAGCAAGATCCCTTCTACCAATGGAGTCTCGCAGGTATGAGCTTGACACAGCCTCGCACTCACGTTGTCATTGACAAAGGTGTAAATCATCTCCTAACCCACAGTGATTTGTATGCACAATCGCATTTCTTCCCCTGTTTTTTGATGTGCATCCGTATCCATTTCCCCCCCCCCCCCCCCCCCCCCCCCCCCGTGTGGCAGGTTTTGCAGAATGTCCTCAACCACAGCAACAAAATCTCTTTCTGCAAGCCGGAGCTGCAGCAGCAGAACGCCTCGCAGAAGCTGGAAACGAACGGCGGCGGCAGCCCTGGGGGCGACGCCAGCGCTGACAGCAAGCCCGCGCCGCCGGAGTCCCAGTCCCCCTTGCACTTCCTCGCAGATCTAGCGGAGCAGAAGTCTAGGGAGGAGAAGAAAGGTAAGAGGCAGTGGGGACTCGAAAAGAACAATCACGGGGCACTGCTGACAGGAGGTGCTTCTAATGGCAGTGAGCATTATAGCAGCAGTGGAAAGTAATGCCAGCTGCTACGTTTTTCCTGTGCATGGAGCTGTCAGTAAGCCAGCATTCCTTAAAGCTCAGATTTAATGCTCTGCATTACTGCAGCTCAGATTTAAAGGCTTAGAGCAAGCAGTTGTCATCCCAGACGAGAGTTAAACTAAGCATCTGAATGTGTTGCAGCCGGAGCTAAATTTACTAGTTTACAAACCGTGAAATGTTTGTTGTCTTTCTCCTTTCTTTGTCTCTTTCTTGCTTTTACTTAATGAATTATTCTAAATGAAGTGCTGTAAATATATATGTTTCTCTGTCAGCCTCATGGTAAGTAGTTTTCACCTTCACTATGATATAGGAGCAACTCGAGAGCTGCACGTTTCTAAATCTAACAGCATAGCACTGCATGGGCAGCACAAAGCGGCGAGCGGTCGGCTCAAGCTAGGAGCCCAGTTCACATAGCTCACATTGCCTGTTGAGCTCATTATTCTGAAATCTGTGTGCTGCAGAAAATAAAGAATCCCCCGTGGGAAAGCCAGCGAAGGAAGAAAGGGACTCGGATCGCTTAGAGGCGCTGAACTGCCGGTCGTCTTCGCTGGTGTCGAACAGCAGCGAGCAAGGCTCCAGCCTGCGGGACCTGCTCACCACGACGGCCGGCAAGCTGCGCCTCGGCTCCACCGACGCGGGCATCGCGTTCGCCCCCGTTTACTCCTCGGGCACACAGGTGATGGGCCTCCCGTCCTCACATTGATATTCAAGTTCCCAGTCCATCCTTTTGTCACGCATTTGAATAACATCCTCGTCCTCGCGAGTAGTTTTGTGGGTTAAGCTAAAACTTAACAAGTGATGGCAACGCTTTCTCCAGAATCGCGGTTTTTATTGTTCTTGTTACTGTGGCTAATGCGGTTATTATCCACGTTTTATTGTTGAAAATGTAATAGTCAAATAAAACACAAGCTCTCTCTTTAAAAGGCAATGTTTGGGAAAGGCGAGTATAAAATTCATATTTGGAATATCTCCACTGCACAGACTGGCAAAAGTGGAAGAAGCATGCCCAACATCCTGGATGACATCATCGCTTCGGTCGTTGAAAACAAGATTCCCGCGAACAGAAGCTCCAAGTTCAACCTGAAACACGAAGCGAATGAAGAGACTAAACACGACAGGAAAAAGCCTATCGCCGAGGAGCCAAGTAAGCTGTATCCCGATATCCCCCACTCCTGGCTCTGTGATCACCGTCTGCTCTGGCTCAAAGATCATCGGAACTGTAACAACTGGAAACTCTTCAGGGAGTGCTGGAAGCAAGGGCAGGTCAGTACTAGACCGAGAAACACAAGCAAGACCACCCATTTAGGAACTGCTGTCTCCTGTGCCAGATGAGGGAGAGAACCTGCACTTGACTGTATAGCATTGGAATGCAGCAATAGAATCTTAATCAGGTTATTACATGCAATAAACCCAGTCCTGTATGCACGGTAAAATAAAATATGGACAAAGAATACACTCAAATGAAAGCTTAATTTATTGTGCCGGGTTCCTGCTGTTGTTTTGAACTGGTGCTGAGGTCTTATGTGGCTGTTTATAGACTGCTGTCAGCAGAATTTATGTTCTTTCTTTGTATTTTATCATGGTTTCCTGCTTCATGAGTTAACGGGATATTTGTTTAGTTCTTTTTGGTGGAGGATGAGTTCCTAGCGCAAAAAGGAAATGTGCTAATAACTGAGGGTTTGGTCTAATATAAAAAAATATCAACATGTTTGCATGTCAGCTGCTCATCTCGATTTGTTTCTTTAAGTGTTAGAATGGTGAAATTGTTTAAATTGATCTTGCTTAATATCACTGACGGAATGTGTGCAAATGCTTGTGGTTTGTTCTTAAACCAGTGCATGCAAACGTAGGAAGAAAAATGCATTTTTATGATTGAGAGAAAGACTTCTTAATGCAACATACATATATACATATTTCCTTTTTGCATTGTTGTTAATTCAAATTTTTCATCTACCTTTACGAAATAGAAATCTGAAAATGGTGATTTATATCCCTTGTCAGTACACGATTTTTATGAATGTTCCAAAGTGTATTAAATTTTTTATTATACAAGTTTTGTGTTCAGAATATCATTTCACATCATGCATCAAATACTCAGTGGATAAATCAATAGGTCATATGATTGATTTCTTTTCTGCCACCACGTGGGTGCTAGCTGTGTGTTCTGGTTCAGATATGCCTTTTATGTTACTTCTTCATATATGCGTACGGCTTTTCTGAAAGCTGTTATTTCACAAAATACAATTTCACTGTTTCATACATTATTTTTATTACCATAAGCTTTGTAGAGCATTTCTGCATTTAAACACTATTACTGGATTCTTAATTATGTGATGTTGGTTGAAATGCTCACGTTTTAGCATTTTTTGTCAACATCTAGTGGACAAATTATGAAGAAATTAGATTGAGTATTACTACCTTCAGTGAGCTGGTGAATAATAGTTTCAAATCAAACATCATAATCAGCATATCTGAAAGTATTTGGACTTTTCCCAGCACTGTTTTCTCTTGAAAGAAGTAAGCAGAACTATTCAAGATGAATACATCAGCTATACAGTGTACCTTGCATTTTTTATTTGTTCTAGTTTTGTGAATGTTGGATAGAAGCAATTCTTTCTTTCCAGTGAATATACTGTGGATGTTAAGTATTAAAACATGATTTTTGTATTTCTTTCAGCCTGTTCTTGTGTCAGGTGTCCATAAGAGACTAAATGCCAATTTGTGGAAAGCTGAGTCATTTAACCATGAATTTGCTGACCATCAGGGAGATCTCCTAAACTGTAAAGATGGTGTGGTTTCAAACTCCAGCATCAAGGAATTCTGGGATGGATTTGAGGATTTAACAAGTAAGTAAATTGCAGAAATGGATTTTGTTTTCATAAGCCTTACTTCCTAGGACTCGTATTTTATTCAGTATGGCACTCTTGTGTTTTTAGAGCGGCCCAAGTCCAAAGATGGCGAGAGTTTAGTGTATCGGCTAAAGGATTGGCCTTCTGGAGAAGAATTTATGGCTCTCATGCCCTCAAGGTAATTTAAAATACGGATCAATATACCAGTTGTTTGTTGATTCATTTTTCCCATATGTTTTAGCTCTGTGCTTTAATACTTTTCCATGTTCTAAAAACAATTCCAGGTATGATGATTTGATGAAAAATCTCCCCCTGCCTGAATATTCAGACCCAGAGGGTCATCTTAACTTAGCATCCCGTCTGCCATCATTCTTCGTCCGGCCAGATCTAGGGCCTAGGCTCTGTTGTGCATACGGTATGAGCAACTGAACAAGGCTGGGATGAATTCATTATTCTTTTATGTTTTAAATATGTTTGATTATACCATGTCTGAATGTTATTGTTAATGATTGTGTTCCAGGTGTAGCAGCATCCAAAGAACAGGACTTTGGAACAGCAAACCTTCACTTAGAGGTTTCTGACATTGTCAGCATCCTTGTTTATGTAGGTGTGGCCAAAGGCAATGGAGTTCTTTCAAAAACAGGTAGGAGCAGTGTTCTTGATTATATTCAATGATGACAAATTCTGTTAGTCAGTTATTTCAACAACTTGACAGGTTTTTTCATACTGGAAATATATCATTCAGACTCCAAAACATTTTTGCTACGTGTGCGTGAAACAGATTTTGGAGAATTCCTGAAACATGGGGATGTTAACAGAAGGCTACAAAACCCATCTGGAATCATTTCTCTGGGCCTTTGTTTAAACCTCATTTAGTTTTGCCTGAGACTTAAAGTAACTCAGATCAGTAGTTTTCTTTTTTTGTGTTTTAAAAGATGAAGCACATTTCTTCAGAACAATCTAATGGAAAGTGTACTGACATTATACAAATTCAATTAATGGAAATTTCTCTTTACAGGGAATGATTTGTAACTGTACTCTGACAGTTATAAAATTGCTAAAATGTGACATTTCTACAAAACCAAGAGAGACTTCCAGTTTCAAGTGTGCATTAGACTGTTGGGTTGTGTTTATGAGTCCCACAATGTAAAACTGGAACTTTAGCATGAATTCTGTTAGGACTATAAGTCAGTGGGTATGTGGGTATGTCAGTATGCACCCACTACTACTACTCTTTGTGTAAACTGCATCCTGGTTTCAGTCCTTCATACACGTCCTTATAACTTGCAGGAGTCAGATTCATCTCATTAAACATGTCACACACCATTCCCCCTTTTAGTAGAGTGAAGTTGCTTTCACCAATCAACTGCAAATATTAAATATAAAGGTCACAAGCTTTTATCCTTCTTTGTATTCATATTTAATTGTTCTTTAAATGGAAAAATCACAAATATCTTTGCTGTTGCACATAGAACCAATTTCCTGTGTTATGTGCAGGAAAGTTGAATAAATGTTGTGTGCTTGCAGGTGTGTTAAAGAGACTGGAAGAGGAAGATCTGGATGACAACATGAAGAAAAGGTTAAAAGACTCAAGTGAAACTCCAGGGGCCTTATGGCACATATACGTGAGCAAAGATGCAGAGAAAATAAAAGAATTCCTACAAAAGGTTAGAATAAAAAGATATGACCTCCAATTTATCTGATGATAAAATGTTGTAATATTTCTTAATTCAGGTGGGTAGCTGCGTCAGCATGCGTAGGCTGCAAAGGAACAAGTAATAGGTTTATTCCATGCTGAAAAAAAGAAGAAAGAGAACACCTCTTCACACCTGAAGAAGGCTCCACGGCCGAAACATTGTGTTCTCTTCTTTTTTTCTCAATGGATTAAAACTATTACATATTTCTTAATTGTTTCCTTTTGATTGGATTGGATTAAGGCAGGCATGTTTTGGGGGAAAGGGTAAATGCCTGCGTTGGTAGTTTTGACTTCTGCTTAAATCGAAGATTCTTTGGTTTTCTAATTCTTTCCTGCTGACTTCTTCCAGTAACATGAGCTCTTCTTTCCAGAGCTGACTTGCCAAGGCATACTGCTCTCCTGGGCCTGTGCTGACTCTCTGTTCTTTTAAGTCTCCTGTTAGGTTTTTCTTGAACTGGGCCAGTTACACTTTTGCTTAAGAAATGCTGAAGGAAATCCATTTACAACTTGAAATGTAAAGTTAGAAGGAACAATGTCTGGCACATTCTCAAATCTAGTGGCAATGTCATTACCTCTTGGCTCTTGCCAGGGCTACGTTGACCGGCTTTTGACATCTTGCAGATGAAACAAGAACAACCTGCTTATATATTTGGTTTCTGACCGCAGCTGCCTTAAGACTTGCAAATCTTCAAAATGTGGTTTCCAAGGTTTGAATTTCAGGTGTCTGGTGCGTGTGAAATGCTCCTCCTTTGTAACTCTGCCGGCTGTCTTTTTGTCTCCCGTGCCGCAGGTTGCGAAAGAGCAGGGCCTGGAACTGCCCCCGGAGCACGACCCGATCCGGGAGCAGAGCTGGTTCCTGAGCCAGAAGCTGCGCCGGCGCCTCCTGGAGGAGCAGGGCGTGCAGGGCCGGACCGTAGTGCAGTTCCTGGGGGACTCGGTCATGATCCCCGCGGGTGCCCTCCACCAGGTGCGTGCCCGCCTCCTGCAGTCTCAGGGACCCGTCCGCCAGGCGCCTGGCTTAACTGTCCCGCGCCCGGAAACTCGTACGAGACGCTGTCCCCGCCAGCGTCCCCTTTTTCTCAAAGGATCTGTCCAGCTTTAGTTAGAGATCTAGTCCAGTTGCAAAAAATCAAAATAAGAACAGCTTATTAGCCTTGCTGTGGAGTTCCAGCTGTTTTGAGTTGGAAACTAGCAGGTTTGGGATTTTCTTTCTTTAGAAAAAAATCTTTAAAGGTTTTTTTTTTTGTGGTCTGGGAATGCCTGGGAAGTTTAATCCTACATGGTAGGAAAGAATTTGATGTGAAACACTTTTTGATATCCTGAAAAAATCCTTTTTTAGGTTGTTTTTGGCAATTGAAGCAGACCTGCTAAAGCAGGGATCTAATGGTCTTGTCTGTATTGTTTTACAGGTGCAGAACCTACACAGTTGTGTTCAAGTGATTAATGACTTTGTGTCTCCAGAACATGTGGTGCACTCGTTTCATTTAACACAGGAACTGAGATCTTCTAAGGAAGAAATTAACTATGAAGATAAGCTACAGGTATAGATGTGGGGGGCACCTTTCACCATGGGCGTTTATCCAGGATTCTATCCATCTGCAATTCCTAACGCTCTTAGATGTCTTTTTTTAATGTGAGACTAATAAAATCCAATTATGTTCTCCCTAAGAAGGAAAAGTAAATGATAAAAAACATGTTTTTTAGCTGCATTCATTTTACATTCACAATGTATTCCTCATTTGTTTTTGACATGTTAATATAAACTTTAGGATGACCCTTTAATGGCATGTTTATATTAGTATACACTATATATAATGTAGTTTTTTTAGTTATGCATTTTACATTTTTTAATTTCTCAATAGCCTGTATTTAAAATGTTCCTGGAACATCAGGAAAGGAGATGATAAAAGTTTGGGTCTAATCAGGAGTACGACAGCATAAATTAGTAGTTTGGGAGAATTTTGAAATGGTTTCAGATGGGTGTTTAATGAGTAAGCATTTTAAGATATTTTTTGTGTGTTGTGCTTGAAGTACATAAAGCAGTTGGCAGGATGATTTTATACTTTCACAATGCAGACGGTGCATAGTTTTCTTTTGAAGGCTGTGTCTGTGTGCATGAGAGAAATTTGTCTTCATGATCTCACAGAACTGTTCTCTTTCATAGGTAAAAAACATCTTTTATCATTCTGTGAAAGATGCTGTTGGAACATTAAAAAGGTGCTGTGGTGAGGAGATGGACAGAGCAGAAGAAAACTCATGACACCTTTCCCTTATTATTGCTGAAGAATGACCTTTTCTGGAATAATGTAACATATGCACACTAACCTTAACATCACAAACTTACAGTGCCAAGCTGACTAAATTGGTATTTATCTGTTTCCACCACCATAACAGTATAACCCAGCGCAAGATAACCATGACTCAATGCAAAACTAAAGATAATCTGCAAGCAACAGCACTGCTATTTTTTCTGTTTTCATACTGTATATTGTTTGTTTAAATGAAAGATTAAAATGATGTATTTATTTTTTAAAAGAATTACAGAGTTATATGCTATGTTATAGATCAAATGTAAATGTGACTTGTACAGTTTGCTAAAATTATTCTGATACTGTTCACTACATTGAGACAGTTACTGTGAGAGCAGATACAGACACCAGCTATTGCCTGTACTTGGGAATCTTTGCTGAATCGCACAGCCGTCACGCCATATCTTTTGAAAAACGAACTGCCAAACTATTGTAAACAGTGTAAAGTTATATAATGTAAAGGAAAACGTCTAAAAAACACAAGCATTTTATTAAGAAAAAGTATTTGCTGTAAAATGGAAACCTTTACAAAAGTTGTAATTTATTTAAGACAGTTGTCTCATTTTGTTAAAATTTATTATGGTGAACTTTTGAAGTTAAATGAATATCAAAAACTTATTATGCTGTGTAAATATATACATATATACATTCAATAATGTATTTTTTTAAAACATGGCTTGCTTCAATTTGTTAAAGTGCAAGTGTTACATGCTTTGTACATTGAAGTTCAAAGGGGTTTTACATTTTCCATTAAAATGGATTTATCAAAGTCTGACTACTGTTTGCTTGTCATTGGGAGGTGGTGTGTTTGTACAATGTCTTTGTCACCAGAAAAATGAATTTAGAGCATGTGTGAAGTGATGAAAGAGAATATATCTTTGCTGAATGATCTGTTAGACCTCCTGGATGTAATGTGGTAAGTGTAGTAGATTTGTATCTCTTATTCATGAGTATAGTAGCCAGCATGAAACATGTACAAACCTGAAACTGCTGGACTCTTCTCTAAATTGTGATGTATATAGAAAACAAATACATTGGGTCTTTCATGGTAAATTTAGCCTTTCCTTGAAAGCTCTTTATCATAAAACAAAATTGATTTTTTTCGAATTAGTGTCTGTAGACACTTGGTCTTACAACAGCTCATGTAGGATAAACTAACACCATTAGTTTTCAATGTGTAATTCCACTTTAGTGAAAAAGTATTAATTATCCACTTGAGTTTTTTGCGATCTGCAACACTTTAAATAGATCAATGCACATTTACAACAAATAGACAAATTATAAAACAAAATGAAAGCTTTGATTTTGAGAGATTCCAGTAACACAAGGCCACTCAGTGTGAACACTGTCGATACCGACCTGGGAGTGCTCTGCACCTCCAGCAGGAGTGACGTTCAAGGGAAAGTGGGCTATTGAATTTCTCATGAGGTGCACCTGTGGGAAGACCATGCTGTCCTAGCAAATTGTGGCTTATGGACCATCCCTCTCCTAGGAGCGCAATGTTTAAACTTCATTTTTGCAGCAACTTAATTTTTAGCATTTAGCAAAAGCAAAGTTCAAGCATTTTGCCATCTCGCCTTATGAAGGTTATATTTTTGTCCATTTCAAATTTGTTTTTGTAGATATTCCATATTCTACTTGCTTGTCATCTTTGGTACCCCAGGCCTTATCTCCCTCCCCGAGACCAAAGTAAAAACAGCCATCTGTTGGCTTGTTAATTTGAAGGTAATAAATGACCTAAGTGACAGAACTGAGATTAAAGGGATTTGCTCTCACCCCTTTCTATTCTGCATAACACGTCTCTTCACACCCTTGTTTAGGAGTCTACATTCATAGAATGATTTCCCATCGTCTGTACAGACTTGAGAGACTGTTCTTACATTTGTTCAACATCAAAAGGCCTCTGTTCCGATCAGGCATGTGGGCTGTGCTTGAGTGTACTTACTGTATACAAAGCAATGTGAAGAACGTCCACACTAAGCCTCTCTGCTGTGTTCTGGTTATCTGCTTTAATGTAGCCTACTCACTTCGTGTCCTACCAGAACCTCCCTCTTCCCCTTGTACCTTCAGAAGCTTGATAATACCTCAAACCTATTACTACAGCTAGGTAACCTGTGGCTGACCTACTTCTAGGCCCTCCTAGGTCATGCATGGCTGAGCCCCTCAGTTACATGCTGCTTGGAATGGGCTTCTTCCACTCACTCCTTCCCTGGAGGTCTTGTGCCTGTGCACTGTGCAGATAATCCTAATTCCTATAACAATTCATGTACACTACATTGATTATCTCAAGCCCATACCTATGAAAACTTAGACACCAAATGCATATTCCTGTTTAGTGTTAATTTACCTACAGTGCAACACTGATCAGCAAAGATTTCTGCAATTAAACTGTCCGTTCTCCGGGAGTACAGGTACATTCCCTCCCTTCCCTTAACTGTGATTTAAACGAAAAAATGGGGGGGTTGATTTTCTGTGGATGAATATCCGATGTTCAATTCATATTGAGTTTTTCTGTTCTGTATGTAATGTCTTTCATAACAGAAATTCCAACAGGGTGTTAACATGTCATAGAAAAGATTTTTTTATTTTTTCATTTAATTTATGAATTATGTTTTTAATATTTTGAGATCCCTGCCATAAGAATTTCTGAACCAGCGGCGCCACAAAGCACTTTTTGTTTCCCCATTGAGACTTGTTTATTCCACAAGGTGGCACCACTTAACACTAAAGCTCAACCTTGGACTCTTGCTTCCCCAAATTGTGATGCCCAATGGACAACATCCTGCGACTTCTGAATTAATTAGATCCAATCTAGCATGGCTCTGTCACTAGCACATGGCAAATGGTGGCCAGTTGCACATTTCAGAGGATAGGCTCCTCTCATACCTCCGCACGAGTACTAGGGCTGTAGGACTAAACGTGAGGAGATTAACAATTGGGAGGTGTAAATAATTCCAGGTTTCAAGTAACAGCACTACCTAGCCAAAGCAGTTCAGTTTTACAATATTAATAGCAAGCTGTGTTTTAGACAAGAGTTGTAAATTTTTTTATGTTCAGTGATACTGCATGTAAAGGTTCATAACGTGAATAGTTAAAAATAAATTCTTTCCTAACCTTACTCCTAAATGTAACTGTAACCCAGAACCTATCCTTATACTATGGTTTAACTGTCGTCTAATCGCCCTGATCTTTATTGCTTAACTTTACAACCAGAATTTAGTCTGAAAGACAGTTTTATTCCTAACCCAAGTCTCAGCTCTGAAGCTATCCTCAACCCTTAATCACAAACCCATTATTGACCCTAAAATTGGAGCTGTGGTCTTAGTGAATTGCAAGTGCTACACGGCACAAATGACACTGGCTACTTCCAATTACAATTCATGGAGACACAATGACAACAGACAAAGGGAAACAGCTAAAACATCTCATTCCGGCAGTGAGTGGATGAATGAACTGACTACAGGGAACTGAAATAGCTTGTGATGTCTTTACTGTTATGCTAATATAACTACTTTAAAGCAGCATAAAAGGTTTTCTGGTACTTTTCAGTAGTGAAAGTAGACAGCAGAATGACTACGAACAAAATGATCTTCATCTTAAAGCAGAGGGAAAAGTTAGCAGCAAGGATAAAGGCAAAAATGTGCCATGACAGCAGCTTCTTACTTTCCTTGAAAATACTCTACATAGAAATCCAAGATGCTCTTAAAAGCTTAAAATGCTTTCTAGCATTCTGAATTGGCACAGTATAATGAAATTTGTCTTTATAAAAACAACACAGGTGCCAATAGTCTTTCAAATGTTATCAGACCATCTGTAAATGGAAATCTTAAACTTTTATTTTGTATGGATTTTTTTTAAAGATAATATATTTAGAGCCAGTACTGTCATTCATGCATCACCAAAACAATAACATAACAATAACATCGTTAATTGAGAATTTCATTAGCACATATTTTCTTTTTAGATTGACGTCAAGCAATAATACAAAAAAAATATTCAGATGCACCCTGATTACTTTATGTAAACCAATTATTTAGACATAAAAACATTGCTGATTTGGTTCCCTCTTTAGAAAACATAAATATCAGCCGTTCTTCTCCTTGGCTCCAAAGGTTAGATCACATTGAAAACTCTCACTATATCTGGATGCTGATTAATCCAGGTTAGTGCTTAAATTTAGCATCATACCTATATTTGTACTTCTCCATTATGCATATTCAAATGCAATGACCTGAAAATGTATATCAGTGTGGCATTAAAAATCACTCATGAGTCTGTAAATGACTACTAATTACAGTACAAATTAACTTGAAAAAATGGAAGATGAGGTACCTCAAACAGGACTACATTTCATATTGAGCAAAAGGATTTTTGCTTTTTGATCCTGACTACACTGTTATCGAAGCACCAAAGCACTCTTCTTAAAGCACAGCTTCACCATTGATTTGCATTAGAGATACTGTGAAATGAAAAGACTGTTAGTAAGTGACCCTCAAAGTGGAGTTCTGTGAATTTCTTAGGAGGAAAATAAAAATCTAGCAATTCTACAATTTAGGCAGTAGAATTACCATATAAGGCGAGTAAAAGCAGTTGATAACATTTAGATTATTTTTTGTAATGGTTTGTGTTACTTATCGCAACCTTTTAGCTTCTGTAGCATACCAAAGCATTAAATGGTAAACAACATAAAATAATGCCACGTTCTGTGTAGGTTAGAAACATCAGAATACAGAACAAAAGTCCTTCTTTTGACATCAACCTGATCATCCACATTTCCACTAAACCAAACTGCTGCTTAATATGCCCAAGCAACAAAATCAACACCTTAGGCAGCCTCAGCCACAATCAAACAATGAGAGTCATTTAGAGCAATAGTTATACATTTTGGAAAACTAATATTGACACAATTGTAAGGACACAGTCTAGCCATTTCCTTCCTATGGGCCAGATAACAATTGTCACAGATTTTGGGGCAAGGCCTCCGATTATTAGATTTCCATCCTTCCTTACTTTACACAGCAAAGTGACTAATTAAATTGCAGGATTCCACAGACTATGAATGTAGATCACAGTGTTCATTTTGTTTCCACCAAAGAAGTACAAAGAGCTGAGTAATGTGAAGTCACACATTGAGAAATACATTTTTTCCAATAAGAAACTTTATAATCTTGTGTTCCTCTGTATACTGGAGCTAACAGGGAACAAACATCTAAGCCATCAGACTGTAATCACCTGAGGCTGTATCGCTAACCCTGGAAAAGATATGATATTGAGATACCTTGTATTTTTAGAGCAACAGTGGGGAAACCTAGATGAAAAAATACGAAACATGACAATTTTTCAGTCGCACCCTCTCAGATACGATTGCAAGGTGGGATCTGTGCATGAAGAGAGAGGAAATGTCTTCCTTGGCCGCAATTAATGTAATCATTTTGTGCGACACCCCCCCCACAACACAACCTACTTTTAAAAAGATTCAGCAAAAGGCACAAAATCCTACTAAAGATCAGGTGAAATAGCTGCAGTACCTTGGGAGTACAGTCCATGACAACGCTCAGCTAATAGTACCACCTTGTGGTAGCTGTTTGATCTGCAGGCTACCAGTGAACACTTGGTGCGGTGGTGCATTTCCCCATTGAAACAGCTCTCTGCGCGCCAGCAAGCGCAAGAGTCTCCCTTTAGATTCGCCATGTCCTCGTCTGTAGTTCCTCCAGTTTCCCCGTCCAGCTGCGCAGACCTGGCTACAGCTTGACCCTGTCCAGGAGCTCCTGCAGTTCATTCTGGATGTCCTCGGGCAGCTCCACAGGTGGCAGGTCCTCCAGCGAGATGTCCTGAGCTGGCATTTCCAGGGGCGGGAGGTGCGGAATCGGAATGTCCTTTGCCTTCCTGTCCTCCGAGGGCTGCGACAGCCCCCACAGCTCGGACTTCTCCACGAAATCCGCGTCGGCGTAGGGCTCCCTCTCCAGGGGGGCCCTCTTCAGCCTGGCGTTCTCCGTCTTCAGCCGCTGGTTCTCCTGCGTCAGCTTCTCGTTCTCGGCCAGGAGGAAATCCACCAGCTTCCTGAGGTCGGCGAGGGCCGTCTCCTGCTCCTCCAGGCGGGTCCGGTCGTCCTTGAGGGCCTTGCTGCCGGCGCAGGGCTCGGCCGGCGCCCCTTTGTTCTTGAGCAGGTACAGCCAGGTGTCGTACTC